CTGCAAGGTTGGCGGGGCCGCGCCTGCGGGGTCTGAGTTCTTGGTGAGGAAGCCGGACATCCTGGAGCCCCTGTCTTTCCATTCGCAGCCATGGCAATTGTGGGCAGAGTTCATTCATTCGCACAATGTGCAATGTGTCATTGACTTCACGGTGGGCCCCGGGTACGCTGCCGAGGCCGCCCTTATGGAGAAAAAGCCTTTCTCAGGTAATGCCAGACTAGTCTTCACATGAATGTCGTGCGGCAGTACCTCTTCGGCCGCTTGTGGGCACACATGCAGAGCCCAAGCAGTCAGTATTACGCTGCAGAGCTGCGCGACGCTCTGCAGGCCAGTGCTTTGTTTTATGCACAGACGCAGTGTTTATTCTGCTGCTTTAATTTTTCAAACCAGTCTGAAACCAAGTGGTCCCGCCGTGCCTGCCAACCACGACGCAGGCGGACAGCGGTGACAGCAACTTGACGAGGGGCAAGGCCGGAGGAAAAGCGCCGCCGGTGAGCAAAGCCAAAAGCAAGGCTGGGCAGCTTGGCCCAGTGCCTCCTCCTGCCAAGAACGGGGGGCCGAACAGTGGCTCGGCGCTGGTCGACCTGGTGGAGAACATGCTGAAAGCTGCGCCGCCTGCTCCAGGCGCCGGACCAGCCCCCAAGCAGGGCAGACGAGTCAAGGCTAAGGCTGCCGCGCCGCCGGCCACTGAAGACCCAGCTGAGGAAGAGGAGGACGACCCCACGGACAGGGAGCCCAACTGAGCCGCAACGCTGGGCTTTTGCGCGCTCTGCCGCGTAAGTTTGTGAGTTTGGTAACCATGATGTGCCCCCGCTGCTGCTGCAGAGAGATGTCAAACGCAGATCGAACGGTGCTTAAAACATGCGGCCAGCCAAGGACATTGAATCAGGACGTCCGGCGTCATGAAGTGCTGAGGATCAAGGGTTGCCGAGAGACAGTCCGGTCACGTCCATCCAGTTTCCCACATGACACGTACGCTTGCCCGATCAGCTTGGTCCGCGGAAAAAAACTTAAGTTTTTTTCCACAGACCCCATTTGTCCAGAGGGTCTCCGGTTTCCATAAGTTGTCTCCACAAACCACAGCGCTGCGGACTGTCGAGTGGACTACAATTCTTGGATTTCGGGGAACGCAAAATTCCCGGTGTTCGAACGTTTCTAGTTCTTTGGACAGTCCACAGCACTGCGGCTTGTTGAGTCGACCTTCGGATTCCAGAGACCCTCTGGACAGGAACTTTGTGCGTAAACTTAAGTTTTTTCCGCAAGCGCTCTTTGGACAGAGCTCTGGCCCAAGCTGCCCGGAATGTCCGCGCAGAGCGCATGGGCCCGCTTTGGCAGGCGGTGGACCGAGCAGTTCCCGTGGCTGGAGGCTGCGCAGTGGGACACAGGCGACTTCTCCGTCAGCTGTGCTGCCTGCAAAGCTGCTGGGCATGTGTCAGCGGAGTTTCGAACCATTGCTTCATTGCAGGTCAGCCACTTCCGAGACCATGAGAAAACCAAAAGGCACCAGGCCGCAGCATCAAATGAAGACATCCGACTGCGCCTGATGGCCCCATCTCTCGAAGAGTTCATCGCAGTTCTGCGAGCTACACGCAAGGGAAAAGTTGGCGGTGATGATGGGATTGCCTGGTCCGGCGGCAAGATCCTTCGCCGCCGAGCCCAGAAGCTCAAGTTTTGCTTGGCCGAGTCGCTGCGGGCTCGCACGCGGCAAACGCTCAACGCTGCCTCCTGCGTCACTGTGCACTCGGACTGCTCAAAGACGATCCTTGTCTTGCGAGGGCAAACGTGCGCAGAGGATTTGCGTCCTCAGCACATGCTTCTGGGCGCACGGAAGCTTCATGACTTCTCTGCGGTCGGAGTTGCCACGGCTGTTGTGCATTTGCTTCATGATTTGGCCACCCCTTTTGCTGGCAGAAGAATTCAAGGACTGCCTGAAGCCAACTGTGCCAGCTCAGGTGGCTTGTCCCCAGCTGGACGCAGTTGCGTTTCAGCAGTGGCTTGGGCGCGTTGAGGTGTTCAACGCCGACGCAGCAGCCGACGAGCAGCTGGCGGGACAACTCTTGTCGTCGGAGCACGAAGCTTTTGCTCAGCTATACTGCGATTTGGCAGACATGGACACGGGCACGCTGCAAGTCTTTCCGAACCTGAAGTTTGTAAACAAAGACAAGCCCCACGCAGCCCGCAGGACCCTTTTTTTGTTTGTGGCCATGCGATTTTCACCGCATGTTCTTCGAGTGTACTGGCCCTTCTGCCAGGATAGTGAGTCGCACTTGGAAGTGTGACCCTGTGCTGGACACGTTGGTCAAAAAGGTAGTGATGAACAAAGGCAGCATCGCGCAGCTGATCCACCACAGCGACGTTGTGCGGGTGAAGTATGCGCAGGAGGTGCGCGCCACGCAGTACAACCCGATGTGGAAGCAGAACTCGTCCAAGTTCAGCGCCGCCAAACACCGCTTCGACACCTGGGCGACCCCCTTTGCCAAGTTGTGCCTGACAATGGAAGCTGTTCTATCAACAGCGCAGTCCCTACATGATGAAAGAAAACAAGAAAGGGTAGGCGCTGCAGCAAAGGAGTTTCTGATGCTTGCCACGGAGGAGAACTTGGTGCTTTTGGGCATGCTAGCTGACGCTGGAGAAGAAAATCTTCAGCTGGTGCGTTTTCTGGACAGCGAGACGCTAGACAACAGCCAACTGTGTGCGGAGTTGGGCCGGTTCACGACGCGGATCACCATGCTTTTTGATCAGGGGGGCTGCCTGAGGACCGGCTTCACGCAGCACGTGCTGCAGCTGCTGTCAACGCAGCGGGTGCTGTATGTGGATCGCCAGCCCCGGCGGCTCGGCGGTGCGCCGCAGCATCAGATGGCTCAGACAGTTGCGTCCTGCTTGCAGCGCTTCAAGGCATGGACCGCTTTGGCCAAAGACGTTGTGTCGGCGGAGTTCCCGTGCTTCGAGGCCTTGCAGACTTTCAGCATCTTCCATCTACGGCCTTTGGCTGAACAACAGCGCTTCATGACTGCGGGGGAGGAGCGCGCCGACATAGCCACAAAGGTGCACAAGCTCGCTGTGCTGCTGGGCGTGCCGGAGTGGTTCACGAAACATCCAGTTATGAAGCAAGGTAGCCAGGCCACTGTGAAGAGGAACTTCACGGGAGGTTGTTTTTTTGTTCACCCCTTCAGGGATGCAAACGGCCGGAGTGCGTGCTTCTTGAGGGCCCAAGTTGCGCAGCCAAGATGTTCTCAGCTGCCGCACGCAGTCAGCGCGCTCTCCCAGAAAAAGCTAGCATAACCCCATGACGGCTGCCCAGGCACGGCCTAGCTCCACCAAGGTTTGAAAAAGACTGGCCAGTTGCTGCGTGTCCAGAGCTTCCCTTCCAACGGGTGGAGCTTTTTTCTTTTTTGATAGGCAGGCGTCTAAATGCGTTTGACCACAGAACTTTACAGTCTGACAGTGGCTTCTTAAGGGCCGACATTGCTCAAGATCCACTTCCTCACGGCGAGCTGTGTGGCACTTGTTCTTCACGTCCTTCTTGGCTCTGCACTTCTTGTAGGAGCAAAGCTGCTTCACTGCGCTGCCTTTTTTGCGAGCAGGCCCCCGTGCCATTGGTAGACTTTCTCACGCTATTTCCCTTCTACGGGCAGTTCAACATGTCAGAGCCGAAATTTCAAAAAACCAAACAAGACTTGCAGGCAGACTTCCCACGACTTGCAGGCAGACTTCCCACGAAAGTCTTGTTTTTCGAGCCGCCCTTACACACGAAAGCCTTTCTGAGAACGCTTCCGGAAAAGGGCGGTTTCAGAAGCGCCCCTTCTGAATCCTTACTGCTGGATGGGGCATGCCACCGAAACCAGCGTAAGTCATTGTGGGCGCCGGGCGGGGCAAGCCACCGAACCCGCAAGCGCACACCGCAACAAGCATATCTGCTCTGCAAAAACACATCTATCCGCTTGAAAAATATGATCCGCAAGAAACATACGACTTGGGCGGCTCTTGCGTCGCATCACGCATGTCCGTTCGTCAGCTCACAGCTTTCCTGTGAGACTCTTTTGCCCTGAGACGCCTTCCCTCTTGCTTGCAGAAGGCGTAGGGGCCGGGCGGGGCAAGCCACCGAACCCGCAAGCACAAGCACATGCAACAACTTCAATCGTTGGCGGGCTTCACTTTGGAGGAAGGGGGAGCTGGGCACCCTATTGCTGGATGGGGCATGCCGCCAAAACCAGCGAAAGGATTTGTTTAAGGGGGCCGGGCGGGGCAAGCCACCGAACCCGCGCAAGCAAACGCAACAACGTCAATCATTGATGGGCTTGGGAGGAGGGGGGGTGGGGCGGGGCAAGCCACCGAGCCCTCAAACAACAAACGAGATGAAAAAAGATAATTCCGTTCCGACTCTCCGAAGGCGAGCAGCCAGCGAAAAACGATGCTGCAGGAATCAAGCCTTTCGCAACAATGGGCACACAGGCGCATTATTATTGTCCCGTCCTGCCCCCCCCCCTTCCCACCGAAAAACAACTTGAAACCCAAACAATGAACTTCTCTAAAGTCAACCTCAGCGACATAAATCGAGCAACAAATGCCCGCGAAAAACTGGAAAAATGCAAAATGCAAAAATAAAAATAAAAACATGAACAATTGCCAGTTCAGCATTGCAAAGCCGTTCTCAGCGCATGAGGTGTCGATGTCATGAACTTTTCTTTTTGTCTTTATTCAGCTCAGGCCAGAAGACATTTAGTTTACTAAAACTTGCAGGGGACTCTCATAATCCATCTGCTTACGTCTAGCTCACCGGGTAAAAGAAGCTCTCCATGAAGGCCCTTTACCTCGAGATCCAATTTGTATTTGGCTGTGGGTGTCAAAACCAATGGGATCCCATTTTGGGGTTTTCGGTGCACCACCCATTTTAGAACCTATTTTAGTGGGGATTGGGATGTTCACTGGGGGTACGGGCTTTTGACCCATGGCCATTTCAGGCTTTGGAGTTGCGCAGTGCAGATCCGCTCGCTTTCAAGGCCTCGCTGCGTGAGATGGTGGCTCCGGCGTGCCTGGTGATCCTCTCCCCCTTGTTGGCCGGTACCTTCTTCGGCGTGCAGGTGGGAGTCGTCGGATCGCTCGGTCGAATCCTTGCTGAAGGGACGCTTCACTTGGCGCTTGGCGCGGGCGGGCTTCGGGGCCAGAGTCAGAGTTTCCGTGCGCGACACTAACGGGGGAGTCCCCGCAGGCGGTCCGGGCGAACAGTGAAGGCTTCGTTGCATGATGCAAGAGATAATATATTAAAAAATGCCGCGGTTGTGAAGCATTAAAAACACACACGAAAAACAAGAACAAAACAATATGGAATGGGCCCCTGGTCAACCAATGAGGGCTGGTTCCTTTTTGGGTGGTGGAATCGTTCCATTTTGTGGAGCATTTTCTTTAGCACGGTTCTCCGACGCTGATATCAAGGGTTGTATGCCTTTAAGTGTTTGGTACAACGGGTGCACAATGAGGTTTGGGTTCATACAGAAACATGCTTGTTTTCATGCCACGGATACATTATCTTATATATATACATATATAGTATGTACAATATATAAATATATATATATATATTATACGGATCCTTTTTCTCCCTTGCAGGCCACTTTCAACAGGGGTTTTTGGCTGTCCGGTGTCTCGATTCCGATAGGCCGTGTTCGGGCTGCTCACGGGATCCCTGGGCTCCTCAGTGCAGCTGGCCATCTCCATGTCCAACTCCGGCGGAGCTTGGGACAACTGCAAGAAGTGCCTGGAAGCAATGGGTCGGCTCCGTCGGCTCCAGTCCAGCTGATGCATATGTGCCAGGACTTGCTTGGAATTGTTGGTTCTGAAATACTCCTGAAGCCGCCCCGAACAAACTCCAGTCGCAACCAAGCATGCGGCGTTGGTGAACGAAATACGTGTGTGGTGTTGACTCATGATTCATAATCCGCCGAGTCCTTAATCAAGGGTACTCGAGCTGCTAGCGTGTTTTTTTTGACTAAGCAAGATGGGATGTTGTGCTTGAGTTTTTGCTTGGCGTGGTGCAGACTTGTCCAAGCAAAGGCGGCACCCGTCGAATGGTGGTTGATTTTGTTTTTGATTAAGAATTTGGCAGTTTCTTGCTAACCATATATTGTCAGTGTGTCAATTACCCTGCGTTGGAGCTGTTGCTTGCTCTGAGAATCTAATCGCACTTGGCTGCCTTTTCCTGTCACTGTCCAGAGTTGCTAGCCCGATCGGAATCGCCAAGAACACAGAGTGCCTGTTTTGACAACTAGATGCCCAGCATAGTTTTGTCGTTGATGGCAGACAGCATCCTTGTTGGAAGTCGGTGACTGTGATTGCGCAAGCACACAAACACACAAACTCACAACCACGCACACAAACGCACAAACACGCAAACACACAAACACACGAACACACGAACACACAAGCACACCACAAACACACGCACGGGAACACGGACCCGTTTGCGAGAACTGGGCTATCCATGGGAGATAGGCCGAGCGTACGCCTAGCATAGGTCCTTAGAGCTTTGGAGGAGGACCGTCAACGTAAATTCACTTTGGGGTCCCTAACGAAAGCGGCTTTGTACCTGCAGCGGCCTGCGAGGTACATCAAGAACGGCTTCTCCGACGATGCAGAGCTGCGCTATACCAAGAATCCTAAGACTCCCGAGGACGGGACGTCATCTTGATATGGTGCGCGATCTCATTCGGGAGTGTCTTGTTTGAGGTACCGCGTTGTTCGGCGTGGTTTTGAAGTTGGTAGGTTCTACGAACTTAGCAGCAACTTAGCAATGCCGATGTAATTTCGTCAGATATCGGAGGCAGTCTTACATGGCAACTGAATCCGACAACATCTCAATGAAGCTGGGTGAAATATTTATTGGACCAGATATTTCACCCTACATGTATGTCATGTTGTGTGCTGGTTCTGACTTTGTTGATCATTCATGTTATGTTTTGTAGTTTCAAATGTCTTATAGTGGCATATGTTGCTGACAGGGTGAGCTTGTTGTTAGAGAGTCAGCCAATTTAACAAACTCAGGCCTTGACTTTCCACCCGGATGCGCCCGGCCTTGCGAAGCACTGAACAATGGTTGTACCTCAGCAGCTCTTTGTTAACTGTATTGAACACCGTGATCTAGGTGCCATGTGTGGCAGAGAGATGCACAGCAAAATATGTGCTTCAACCTACACATGCACGCGCACCAAGACACAGATACAGATGCAGACACAGACACACAGACACACAGACACACAGACACACAGACACACAGACACACAGACACAGACACACAGACACACACCCATGCACGCGCAAAGACTCAAAGACACAAACGCACAAACACATTCACGGAAGCGCACAACGTTTGGCTTTTCTTTCATAAAAGGAAGTTGTATTCCAACTAGTTAAAGGACACTTTTCCAGTTCCAGGTCCCTTTCCAAACTGCACTTTGAATCTTAGAAGGAGCTACAAAGCACCCAACCTGGCACATGCACACGCACACACCCACGCACGCACGGATCATGATGATTGTTTGACGCTCATGATCTCAGTGGTCATTCCTACCAGCCACTTAGTTTCCTCAACGCAATTATGTCTTCCAGTTTTTGTTTGGCCCCTTTGCATAAGTTTTCGGCCCTCAACCTGAAGAACAAAAGACATGGAGCGCACACACACACACACACACACACACACACACACACACACACACACACACACACACATGGGCGCCATCTTCTTTTGGTGGAGGGTTCTCGGTTCGTTGCTGGTTCCTCTAAGAATCCATGAATTACCCATCTTAGAACCATTATTCACAATGTGAGACCAAAACAGAAATGGAGGAACCCTGTTGATTGGTCGCACCTCTGCATTTTGATCCAAACCCTGCGCCAAAAGCCCTGTTTGGTAGCACACTTGTTGGCTGGGGGCGGAACCCGCCCAACAGATGTCCGTTTCGCGCCCGCGCCAGGAGATCGCTGCGGCTCCCAAGGCCAAGGAGGCGCACGATGCCGCGGTGCAGGGCGACACTGTCGGGGACCCCTTCAAGGACTCCCCGCTCTTTTTTCGGTGGCTGGGGCTCGCGGTCGGGTTGAAAAAGGCCTTGAAGCCACGGGGAGCACGGCTTTCCAATGTTTCCAAGAACTATGGAAACTTGGACAGAACCATGGCCATAGTACTTGGACTCCAACGCCTTAAAGAACTATGGTCATTTTAAGGCGTCCTGCCCACTTTTCCAACATGGGCCATTGAAAGAAAACCAAAAAACAGGCGGGGATAAGACTCATTAAGAGTTCTTTGTTGAGTAAGGGATTGGGCACGGGTGGAGCAGAAAGGGAGCCCTAAGGGTCCAAGCAACCTTTCAAGGATGTACGTTGAATAAAAATAATCATAAAAAAGAGAGCTCAAACGCCATTCTCAAAGGTTACTTGGACCCTTTTGGGGAGGGCTATGGCTGGAAGCCGAGTGAAATGAGAGGCAGAAGTCATGGTCTCGTCTCGTTATTTCAGAAGGGTCGAGGGACGCCGGCTTTGGGGGCTGCAGAGGCTGTGGTATAGGTTTCATGTTTCCTTCAAGCAAGACAGTAGACACTATTGTACAATAGTTTTATGTATTATTAACGGTATGTGTGAGCTTGGAAGATACACACCATGTTGCCGACCATGATGGAGTTGTTCTGCTCGCAAGCAGCAGGAGAGACCATGCCGCGATGTAGGAATCACATATTCAACCGGCCATCATGTGAAGGAGTTGCATTGGTGTGGCAGCGATGCCATGGATATGATTATATATGACTTTACAATATGTCATGCCGACTGTTTTACGAGGGAACAGCCATATTTCACGCTGCTTCAACATGATGTGTTGTTGTTGACACGGGTGTGTTGCAACATGGAAGGGAAAGGTCTATTAGTCACATAGCAATATGTACAACTGTGTGAGCACGTGCCATGTGTGTTTGCGTACCATTGGCAACCAGTTTCTGCACTGTGTGCTGGAAACCATGGGAGCATCGGATGTGGCAATATGGTCTAGGCCCCCCAGTAGTTCCCTTTTCCTCCTTTTTTGGGGAAAAGTCCCCTACTAACATAGACCACAGAACAAAATCGGGCACCAACTTGCTCTAAGCTCTCTACTGGAGGACCTGGTGCTTCACCAAGGACGTCCTTGTAAGCTGTTTCCGTTTTTGGCGCGGCCTCGGCTCCAGGACACCTCCGGCCCGGCCCTGAACATCGTGATGAAGCTGCAGGACTCGGCTCAGTCGAAGCCGATTCCCTCGGAGTCCGTGTATGGGCGGTTTACTTTTTAAGCACGCGGCTCCTAGAACTTCTTTGCACCTGAGTTTATAGGAACAAACTCTGCAAGAGAAGCGGCAGTGTTTAATGAGGCAGTGCTTCGTGCAAATGTTGCTGGCAGTTCTTTCCGCATGATGTGGTTGTCCTTGCACCCACGTTTTTCACAAGCCGAATTGCTGTCATGGATATTCGGTGTTTTTCTTTTGTCATGTTCACGTTTGTTCTGCTGCACAAGACGCTCAGGTATTGCTGTCTTTGTTGAACTTCAACACGGCTTTGCAGTATTCCAGCACACCTCAGCAACTGCTTTTTCCCAGGGTTGTTCGTTGGGGGTGCTGGATGGCAGCTCACTCCATTTGGTTCAAGCCAGGCTATCGTCTCGCTGGTCTTCGCGGCGTACTTTGCAGCGATCAACAACGGCCACGGCTTGCTGAAGGTGTAAGTGGTACAGCAAATTGGCCTCGAATTGTGCGAGCCGGGAACATGGGTTCTACAATTCATTGCATACTTTCCCAAGTCTACGTTGGGTGAGTCGGCTTGCACAATTCAGGCACGCCAGATGGTGGCGCAGCGATTCGCAGACTTGCAGACTCGCACGCGCATGCAGCCTGCTCTTTTGGGCCTGAGCTGGCGATTGGCTGGCTGGGCACACCTGTGAGTCCAGTGATCACTGAACGATTCTCTTTCATTGGCTCCCTTCCCCTTCCCTACTCCCCTGAATGGCAACAGGATCAATTTACGAAAGTCACGTTGATGACATGATTCACATTAACAGTCACCCCAAACTCGAGAAGGATAGTTTCTCTTGCGCAAACGGCCGGCTTGGGGCCACTTGGGAGCATTTGGACTCACGGGGCAAGAGCTGCATCGCGGCGTCATGGACCGCCGGCGGCCGGCGACATTTTCTCGCAACGGGTGGCATGCTCGGCCAAAAGGAGCAAGGCAACCGTTGACATCATCTTTTTCCGTGGACTTCACCAGGAAGTCCGGTTATAGGAACTGAAGACATGTGTCAAGAGCGGGTGTCCAGTGATGTTTCTACGTAAACGCCTGGCAGGATTCCCACTCTTGACTGTCTCTGGACTCGGGCTCTAGCCTGGCGAAGTAACACGCGCTGCGCGCTTGCTTTTCGCAGGGCCGGTTACATCGACACGACGCGCGAGTCAAGCACCCCCATGAAGCCGTCAACAAGGGAAAATGGTCTCGTTTCTCCGCGTATGGTCTCTTGCTTGTTGCGAAAGTGGATCTCAGATCATTTAATCCTGGCACATGACAGAATGTGACTGCCCGTGGCAAGCATCTTATCATGTTAGCTAGCAATCGGAATGGCATTTCTGGGTGTGTTCTGGGTTGAAGGGACGGCTATCTCAGATGTCTCATGCGCAGCACGCATGTCTTCCCTTGTTTGTCCGAGACTTACACCTTGACTGGTCGGCAGGAAGATGCCCTTGCCGGTCACCGGGCTTTTCAGGGCTGTCACGACGCTTCTGATGGTTGTTGGCGACTACCACGCATATCCTCTTTGAGGAGTCCCTGTCGCTACCGAGTTCCTTGCTGAAGCCTTTGATTTCAACATGATCGCGGGGTCCAATTTCCTTGTTTGCTGCCTTAGCCCGGGTTGCACCAATCTTATGATGGGCGCCGCAATCGTATTGAATATCAGGGGACTATACTCTGCAAGCTCAGAACCTGCGATACGGCCCAAGGCCACCCGACCGAAGGATGTTCTCTCTGCTCTTTTCCTTCCTCCACACAGCAAGAAGCATGGGGAAGATGACCGGCAGAACATTCCCTGGTAGTTTTTTGCTTGGGGCCCCATTCTCTCCCCAGATGATCTGGGAGCACCCCAGCGTGGCAGCGGCCTCGCCTCTCAGGTGGGGACCTCCGGATCTGGCTGGACAGCTTGGCGCAAGCTGAAGAGCTGCCCGGCACGGGCTGGCTGGGCTTCTTTGGGGCTTTGCTTCTTTTGTTCCCCACATCATTGTGTGTGTGTGTGTTTTTCTGTGTTTTTTTGCAGTTCAAGGTTTAAAAGAAGCAGTTCAAGGTTCAAAAGAAGCTGGCTGGGCGTCTTTGGGCTTTTGGACCTCTTTGTTTTTGCAGTTCAAGGTTTAAAAGAAGCAGTTCAAGGTTCAAAAGAAGCAGTTCAAGGTTCAAAAGAAGCAGTTCAAAGTTCAAAAGAAGCTGGCTGGGCGTCTTTGGGCTTTTGGACCTCTTGGTTTTTGCAGTTCAAGGTTCAATCGACCCAAAAGAGGTCCATGACATGCTTTTGAAAGGCGTCACGGGCCCGGAGCAAGCGGTAGAGTAGGCGGTAGTAAGATCAGGGGGTTCAACGCCGGCCAAGCTGAGGCGCCTGCCGGAGGAAGCGGTCTTGCACCTCTTTGCGCAGATGCTGAAGGGCATGGAATATGTCGCCACCTCAGCTGAGTTGTTTTGGCTGAGAGGTCCCGATTCGTGCAGTATGCTCCGTGGTGCCCTCTGATTTTTTTTTGAACTGGAGTCCCAAAAAGGGTGCAACAAAAAGGGTCATCCCGTTTCTCAAAGGGCAAGCGTTTCATGCTGGAACCAGCACCACATCTTTCAGTAAGGACGCATTAAGGACGCTTGCCCTGAATGCGTCGCTCCGGGAATCATGCCGTGGTGGCTTGCTAGCGTATGTACTAGTTTAAGAACGTGGGAGCGCGATGCGTTGTAAAGCAGCATGTCTGAGAAACACCTGCGCAGTCTAAGTCGCGTCCGATTTGCTTTGCTGCGGTGGAAGAAGCCACAGGTACTGGCCAGAAATTTTTCTCTAGCCCCAACTCTTACAGCTTTTTTACATTGCCTGGCACGAGTTCCATCCCAAAATCATAGAATATGAACAACACCACAACACGCATAGTTTTTTTTTGTGCCTCTTTACTCTGTAGATGATGTTGCGGTTGAGTGATTGTTTTCCGGTGTGACCGTCAGAAATGCCTCTCATAAATGTCCCGGTCATGTCCCTTTGCGAGTGGGTGACTGATAAGTTTGTCTTTTTGACGCATTCCGAAGTGCTCAGAGAAAACAAAGATCAGCCATTCCACTCGGTTGGCGCAGGTGCACTCCTGCCGCATCCTGCACCGCGACTTGAAGACTTCCAACATGCTGCTGGGCCTTTGTCATCGCAGGGATGGAAACTTGCGAATTGAGACAAAGGAGAATCAAGCGAATATGTTCTGTTTGTGCGCGCACGCTTTTCAAACACGATGCCTGCGCAGACTTGAAGCAATATGTGCGCATCATTTTCCCAGACGCGGGCTGTTCGTTTCTGTTTAGAACCGGCATTCATGTGGGAAGTGCCCCTGTGATTCAACCAAGTTGTAAAGGCCAGTCAATGCCGCCTGCTTGTTAGCATAACATATAACATTTGCTCGGTGACCAATCAAAGTCAAGCAACACAACACACGTCAAAGTGAAGAACACAAAGAACACATGATTATTCGCATTCGCTACAACAAGGCCGAATTAACCACCACGCTTCATATTGGCATCCTTAACCAGGCCTCTCATACTTTTTGACTTCCTTCGCACAAGCTCCTGGACCAGAATTAATCTGATCCTTCCGCTGGCTTTGGGGCTGGATCTAGCGCAGATTTGCTGTGCTTCGGTGGGTGCGTGTTTCGTCTGCTGATGCATGCCATTATGCTACACATGCTCAACATCGAGCTGGGAGTTTTCCATGCCAAAGCTGGGACAGGTGTGGGAGATTGCCCTGTGCGGATCCCAAAGTTTCAGCTTTAGGCTACATTTGGCTATAAGTAGATAACATGCATACCCAAATGAACAAATGCATACATACATACTTGCATACATACGTGCGTGCGTGCGTGCGTACGTACATACATACATACATACATACGTGCGTACGTGCTTACGTATGTACGGACGTACATAAACACATAAATGCATAAATGCATACATGCATAAATGCATGCATGCATACATACTAGCATGCATTCATACGAAAAGAGCATTTCGTACACACACAATCTCAGACATAGAGACAATTTCATATATGCAGAGACATCCATGAGAACAGCCTTCCCTTCACTGGCAACATTCCGCTGGCGCTTCCCTTTGAGGCTGCTGGATGTGGAGCACCGCGTGGTGAAGGCGCACCTGGAGGACATGTATTTGGCAGTTTTTGTTGGGATCCCTTGGTACAAGACCCGCTCATGTTGTGACAGGATTCCATATATGTATATCTATATGTATATCTATCTATATATACCCAGCCCCCAGCTTGAAATTGGCTTTATTTGAGCGAGATTTTGACGGGATTTGACGACATCGCTTTCTCGTGTAAGGCAACATGGTTCAGTATTGGATAAGCCAGCCACAGCTAAAGGGGATCCCTGCCTGAGGCGTCAGAGAGCACAGGTCAGGGAGGGGGCTGGAGGGCTGTGGGGTGCCTTTCAGAAAGGCCGAGGGGTGGCTTTCTGTTTGAAGGATGTACACGTCGGGATTGAGTAAGTACAAATGGCACGTTCTGGAGGCATGCAGCATGCAGCAAGATCTGCTAGCAACTGGCAAGCAGATCACTTCATTGCCAACAATTTTTGTGACACCAGCTGCATGATGTCCTCGCTGTACCGAAGCTTGGACCGGGTCCCGTTCTATCAAAACCGGCCGGCGGTCAGGTTGGGGACTTTGGCATCGCGCGGGTGCTGGAGAGCACCACCGCAGTGGCCGCCACCATGCTGGGCACTCCTTACTACATGTCCCCGGAGGCCTGGCCTTGTTAACTGCACGAGGGAGTAATTAATTTGTTTGTGGGGTCGCGGGGTCCCGACCCGAAATTGGTAAGCATGGTGTTTGTTTGTTTGTTTGTTTGTTTGTTTGTTTGTTTGTTTATTCATATGTTTTGTTTGTTTGCCAGTTTACCTGCTTGATTGCTTGTTGGTTGCTTGATTGATTGCTTGTTAGTTTGAATTGTTGTCTGACTTTCTGACTGCTTGGTTGCCTGGCTATTTGACCGTCTCTCGCCCTCTCTCCCTCTCTCTCTCTCTCTGTCTTTCTCTCTGTATGTTAACTTTTGTTTTGGCTATGTGTGTTTGCATTTGGCGCTTGCTTGTTTGCTTGTTTCCTTGATTGCTGGTTTGCTGGTTTGCTTGCTTGTTTGCGTTTGCTTTTGTGTGTGTGTGTGTGTGCGCGTGCTCGCAGTTCGGCAGCAAGTATGCCCCTGAAGGTCGCCACAGTTGCTTTACTGTATGCCCCTTCTTACTCAGTTCTTTGTCCTGTTACGTCGAGATCAGCTAGCTGAAGCGTTCTGTTGAAGTGAAAGGCTGCAAGCGATGTCAAGGCAATGGCTACCAATTTGTGCATTACCATGGCGTGTTTCCGACAATACGATCCTTGGAGGGGACTCATGCAGCTTGAAGTGTGTGGCCGGCTTCGGACACATTACACACATTGGTAAGTTTAAAGGAGCCAGTGCTCGCTGCGTCTGACACCCCGAGAATGCAAACATTGGGCCCCGCAACAATTTGCGTCCTCTCCCAACATGTCTTCGAACAGGATGATGTTCGATTCACTTCCTGTGTATGCGCGCGCCCCGTAAACACCTGGGCTCCAGCGCGGAACCGCGGAACCGCCGAGCCGAGCAACTCCGATGGCGGACGTCCTGGTGGTGGGCGGAGGAGGGCGCGAGCACGCCATTGCCGTGAAGCTCCGAGAGTCCCCCAAGGCGAGCTCGAGAGGTGGGCGTAGGCATCGGGCCCCTGAAAGGTTGGCTTTGAGGAACATGTGCATGGAAGTGAAATTCTCTTGGGGTCTCCAAACGGGTTGTGGAGATTATTGTATTTTGCTTCTTCTGGGACCGTTGGAAACAGCTCGCCAGCGCTGTATTCAAGCAAACAATCCATGTCCAGCATACAGGAGACCTAGCTTCCCAGCTTTTCTGGCTTAAATCACCCCCTAATCCAAGGCAGCCTTCAATGTTGCACCGCAAGCTGCAAGGGTCCAAGTGGCTGTGGGTCAAAACTAGCTACCCAACATGGAACCCTGGTAAATGAAAAAGACTGAACCCCGCGGTCACCTGGCGACTTTTGTTTGACTCAACCTGGTGGTCCTTGCCTTTCCAAACAGCTACTTGGCCCCATCGCTTCCGCGCGCGCTTGGCGCTTGGCACGGCACGGCGGGCCTCTCAGGTGCGGCACGTCTTCTGCGCCCCGGGCAATGGCGGCACCGCCACGGAGGCAGAGGGGAGGGGATTTCGGGTGCCCTCGGGCCAGGCCTCCGGCCTTAGGAAGCGGCCTCGCTTCCCTTTGGGAGACATCGGGTGCCCCAAGGCTGCCTCTTCTCCCCCTTGCAGGTCCAGCATGTAAAGGTGGGAGGCATTTCGGGTGAAGAGGCCGGATACGATCATCGTTCCCTGCCAGTTGGCGTGTTTGCGGCCTAGCATTGCAGCCAGGGCTTCACGATGGTCATGATTGGTGATGGTGTTTGAGGTGTTGTGTACTCTCCACCCGCATCTTTCACAAGCAGCCAACTGTTGTTTCCAGGACCCATTCGCGTTTCAGGTTATTTAGTTGGTGGGAGGGTAAGCTACGCAGTTGTGTTTTTTGCCTTTGCAGGCACCTGTATTTAGAAGATTCCCCATTTGCACAGAAATGGGGTGAACGACCCAAGATCCAGATACTGTTGGGCCTGGGTGTGTTGTTTTTGGCTCCCTTTTCCGGGTTGGTTTGGAGGGGAAATCGCTCGTGACGCGTCTGATCTGGAGACCCAACCTTGCCCAGGAGCGCATGACCAACCTCCCCATCGGCGACAGCGACGTGCCGGCTTTGGTTGCGGCCGCCAAGGCGGATGGGACCTGGTTATCAGTCACGATTGACAATGGAAAAGGGAGCCAACTGTTTTTTGTTTCTTTTTCTTTTTTTCTTGGGAGTTGTTTTTCAATGTTAAGATGTACATGGGTGTGTGATGGTTGAGGTGTTCGCCTTGGTTTTCAAGGGCTATGCCACAAGTTATGGGGCCACTTTTTTGGCACATATCCATATCGTTCAATTCTTGGCTGCAACTCAGCCGCACCATGTTTACGGTGGTAGCTTCCAGAGATGCAAACAACATATGCCAGTGGCTCGCAAGCAATTCCTGGCACCCTTACCAGAATTCATGTTCACTGCTGGCCATCTCCCCACATGAACCATGTCCATTCCCTTCACCCGGGTGGGTCCAAAGTGTTCAAAGTCGTTGAGGGCTTCCGCGGTGAGCGGCGATGAGCTGGCGCGCAGAAACTCCAGGTAGTATTTGTGAACATCCACCCTGTGGACAGCCCAAGACTTGTGTTTTCTATGTCCAGTCTCAGTAGGAACAACGCTTGAATCGAATTAGCCTTCTCAAATGTTCCACCACAGTCCCATGCACGAAAGCTCATTCTGATCTGTTTGAACCCACTTGCTAATCATCTTCTTAATTATTAATTGCCTTTTGCGACCCCACCGCCTTGCTTCGACCTTGTTCAACCTTTTGGTTTCCTCGCTTTTAACCACCTGCCACCCAGCCCCACCCCAAAGGCCCCGCCCAACTCCCCAAAAGCCCACTCCCCAAACCCGCCACCCGGGCCAAAACCATCCGAACCCACCATAAACCCTCCAACCCCCCCAAGCCCCAACCCCACTCAACCCACTCAACCCACTCAACCCCACTCAACCCCATCCAACCCCCCAAGCCCCAGCCCCCACCCCAACCCCACCCACCCCCCCCCCGGCCCCCACCCCACCCCCAGCCCCCACCCCAACCCCAGCCCACCCCACCCTCGCGGAGGAGAAGGCGGTGGCCCTGGTCTTCGTGGGCCCCGAGGCGCCGCTCTGCGCGGGCCTGGCGGACGCGCTGCAGGAAGCCAAGCTGCCCTGCTTCGGGCCCACGCAGAAGGCCGCGGAGCTGGAGGCGCGCGGTTTTCGAACGAGATGTGGGTGGTCGTTTTGTTTTCTTCTTGTTTTTTTTTCTGGCTTTTTTGTTGATGGCTTAACCTATGATTTATGGGTTGCAAAGGGGCGAACGACTGTGGTTGCTTGCAGATTTATGTGGTTTACCGGAGGGTTTATACATATTATCATATGGCGGAAGTTGGGGAGGCAACCTGTTTCTGGCACGTGTTGGGATTTCGGGCGGCTTTGTGGTTGAGTTTCATAGCGGAATGCAGCCCGGAAGGCAGCCCTTTCCACGGGATCCTTGTTGTTCTGAAGTGACGTCCCTGGTTTCAGGTTCACAACACATGGTTGGTCGGTGAGCAGGTTTTGGTTCGATTGAGCCAGTTGGAATGGTGAACCATCCAACTGGTGGTTTGGGGATCCCAAATGGTTCCTGCACAAAACCCCTCTTGGTTCCTTCCCAAGAACCAGCAAGAGCAGTGGATTCGTCGGCCAGTCAATGCAAACCTGTGGTGCAACCCATTGGACCTCCAATGCAAACGTGCGAATTGATCCAGGATCTGGATGTTCCTGCTGCATGTGACCAGGTTTGCGGGTAAGGTTCTATAATTTGTTGTTGGGGCATGTAGTCCTAGGGGAACATCCCAATCCCCACTAAAATAGACTAGAATGTGTGGTGCACCTACCCCAAAATGGTACCATTGGTTTTGACCCACAGCCATGTGTTTCCCCCAAAATGCATCTTTTGTGCTAAAGTTTCTTGCACATGACAAGGTTTTAAAAGGCCCCCCTTTTGGAGGCCAGCCGCCCGTCATTGACAAGTCAGGCTCGAAACAAACTGCTGTTGCCAAGTTAAGACCTATTCCTCAGAAAAAAACCGAGAAGGCAAGGACGAAAGAGGTTCTCGAGGTTCCTGTTTCCGCTCAATTGGCTGGAAAGGGGCTCGAGGTCACTACGTGGCTCCAGACCAATCAGGGGGGGTGCTCCAAAACTCTCGGTGTTTATGCCCAAAGGATAGCTCACTCCAATCCCCCTGCAATGTGCAACTTCAAGTATGGCAATGACCCACAGCTGGCGACAATGGAAGCAAGCGCAAGCACGGGAAAACTCGAGGGGTTTACTGGTGGCATCGTATTTTGGTGATTTTCAGGGCAGACTAAGCAAATACCAAGCAAACAGGAAAGCCCTTTGTTTGGTGCGTGTTTAAAGCTCAGGGGGCTGCAGGGGGGAACCTTTATGGGGGACAAGAAATATTCGGGTAGCAAGTTTTGGGCAAAGCTTGCAGGCCTTTTGCTTTATGGGAATCTGGCAGGCAAAAGGGTCAACCTTTTATCGGGGGGTTGACGGATCGTGCACTGACATGGCCATGGTTCAAAACCAATGGTACCACTTTGGGATAGGTGCACCACCCATTTTAGTCTATTTTAGTGGGGATTGGGATGTTCACTCAAAATACACAATTTTGACCCATGGCCACATGTACTCCTCAGGCCGCCTTCGTATGCCTTTGTTTTGCGCTTACGCCAGGCTTCGAAGGCTTTCTCCAAGGACTTCTTCGCCAAGTACAAGCTGCCCACAGCGAGCTACAGGAGAGCCCGAGAGTGCGCTCGCAGGTTCTGGGGTCATGATTTTGATATTCTGTTTCTGGGGTTTTATCAAAGACAGAAAATGTGGTTGTTTCCCTTTACCCCCACTACTTAGGGGGTGACTTTGATCATGGTAAAATAATAAGGCCAGAAATGTTCCAGATGTTGGGTGACCCGACGGGATGTGTTTGAATTGCAATGATGTGTGGCTTGTTTGCAGTTGCTGCTGAGTTTTCATGGAATATGGTGGATTGATGTGCATCGCTGCAAATTGCTCTGACTTGAACTTGGCTATTGCTTAGGGCAAGGCAATGTGCTGCTTTGCGACCACGTTCTCAAGTGACATGGTTTTGGGATGTCCCGCTTGCCTGGCCCTGACTCCAACCTAGGTGAAGGAAACTGGAGCGTGAGCAGAATTACTTGCTTCATCCTGCAACACTGTTCTAGTCTGACGGGGGCCGACCCCTTTTTATATGATGCCTTCACAACACGAACACGGGTCTCCAATGAAACGAGGTTGTTTCTCACGCAGCTTGTTTGTAAGTTTATTGGGAGAGGGATCTTTTGATTTGGTGCACAATGCTGCAGCTTTATTGGCAGGGTGTCTTGTTGTTCCCAACACGGCACCAGCCCAATGAGCTTGACATGTCCCTCCTCGCGTTTGAGCCACAGAAGGATGTACAGTTGCAAGTGGCAGAAGCCGATGTCAATGAGTCAAAGGAAAGTCCGCAGTTCATTTGGGTATGTGTCACTAAAGGCAGACCCTCTCCGCCCCGCTCAAGAACATGTTGCAATGCTGTTGTTTTCCCGTTAACATGGCATCCTCATCACATACATCCTTAATTTGATGAAGCGGCTGTTGGTCCCCTTTGAGCCGTGGGCAGCTGCGATGATTGTCAGACAAGCTGAGAGGACATTTAAGTCCGGCGAGCATGAGGCAGCGCTGACGCTTGGCGAACCGAGCTTCCCTGAAGCCCTGCAGATCGATTTGGAGATGTGGCTGTTTCAATTTTAAGGGGGAGCCACCTGAAAACTTAAAAGTGGGTGGGTGAACATGAATCGCACCGAAATGATGTCCACCAAAAGGTGCCTAATTTAAACTCCTGATCATGTGGCTGTTTCTCAAATTGGGGGTCCCCTGAAACGGTGGGTTAATTTGAGAAACAATTTAGCCAACAAGGGGTCCACCATTTCGATAGCCAACCTGCCATATTGCATACCAGTGCTGCAATTCTGCACCCGCAGCAGCAGACGGGGCAAGGCCCTGCGTGGTTGCCCCAAAGCTGGGTGCTCAACTTCCTTGAACATTGTGCTTGAACCCATGAATTCTTCGACTGGCATGGCACCCTGCCATGGCTTTGATGCACATGACCAAAAAGGAAGGCAGTTTTGCCGCCCATTCTGCCAAATGCCTTTCCCGCTCTTGCACCCCGCATGGCATCAGGGCTCCACTGGCACCAAGGTGGAGCCAAGTCGAAGGGTCCGAGGCTTCGCGCGACCCCAAGTTTCCCAAGGAAAATGTCTAGTGTTGGGACGTGGGATGTTAGTACTCCCCTCCTCTTGCTGATCTCCCTGCTGGGTCGCCGCACGAGGTTTTCCATGTCAGAGGTTGGAGAATTTGGTCATCCTTCATCCCTCAGACCCCCTAGCCTCCCCCCGCCCTCCCCGACCTCCCTGAAAGCCCAGGCGATATCCCCAACAGCCCCACAACCCTCTAGAACCCTCCGGAACCCTCCCTGAAAGCTGCCCCAAACGACTCTAGAGCCTATCTGGACAGAGACCCCATAGATTTCAGCTGTTGGGGCAAAATGAGATTCACAAGTCTAAACTATCAGCGCTATCACGAATGCGTCCGCCAATAGTACAGTCTTTCAGAGTTCCACGGATTGCCCTAACAGATCTCAAAACATCAGCTATCCAGAAAGAGCAAATTTGTTGCTACAGAGAGGTTAACAAGTCTGCCTGGAGTCGCCATGGCCGTTTAAAATTGGGGTCATGACCCCCTTAATTTGGATAGTGACCCCCATTTTCAAAGGCCATGGAGACTCCAGGTAGCTTTGTGCTTGCTCACAACGGGTGCCCCTCCTTCACAGCCAGTCCCCCCCCCCAGTGACGGATGAAACAACCCTCCCTGATTGATCATGGCCCTCTCAAGCACGGGACAATAATACAAACACAATGTCCTGCCACTTTCTTATTGCAGTCCTCTTGACCAAGGCACGGAAAGACTGGAGAGGACCGAAGAAGACCTTGGGGTGAACAATCAGAACCAATCATCGCCCTTGCCTCGAATCTGCCACCCAGAATCAACGATTATGCCGCCCACAGCATCCTACACCTTCAAATCCAGACTCGGCCTCAACCAACCCACCGACCAACAAACTCAGTTGTTCAGTGGCACCCTTTTCCCAATTTTGTTTGGTGGCTGCCCCACTAAACAGGGTCTTCCCCAAAAGGGTTGCCTTTTTCCAGGGGCGCTGAACTGAGCAAAGCGCAGCTCCATTTTCAGGAAGTACCTGGAGGCCGAGTACAGCGCGGGCCGGGAGGTGGTGGTGAAAGCCTCCGGCCTGGCGGCGGGCAAGGGGGTGCTCATGCCCCAGACTTTGGAGGAGGCCAAGGACGCGGTGAAGCAGGTCATGGCGCCTCAGATGCATTGAGGGGAGGCTTGGGCGCAAAAAATGTTGGACGCCTGTTGGTCTCCTTTACGTGTTTTTTTTTGTTTTTCTCCCCCCTGTTTTAAAGGGAAACTATTGCGTGTTTGTTTGTTTGTTTTTTGGGGGGGAAGCGATTGTTGTTTCAACGTCTTGAAGCCAGAGGATGGCCCAACCCTAGAGAGGTCCCACTGCCCAGTCAAACTTCTGCGTGATTTCGTGATTTGTATGTGAGAGCGTGTACGCATGTGTGAACATACCCGACATGCATCAGCTTGCCTGCCTACATCCACATGCATGCATGCATACCTGCGTTCATACATGATTTCATACATGGATACATTCATATACGGCTTTCATCAGTACGTGCATTACATACATGACATACATTATGTTACATAGGACACACACAACTAGGACTAAATGAATATTATATATACAAATACATATGTGACATGCCCAAAATACAGTACATGCATTACGCACATGATGTGTTACACACGCGCACACTACACACACACACATGATACACATTACACACACGCACTGCATACGTTGCATGCCTGACACACACACACACACAAACACAAACACAAACACACACACACACACGCACACACACGCGCACACACACACACACACACACACACACACACACACACACACACACACACACACACACACACACACACACACACACACACACACACACACACACGCATACCCACACACACACACACACACCGCAAACTCCTTGCATGCATTGCACACACTGCATACACTTTGTATTCCAAATACATCAGACACACGGCATACCTGTCAGCAAAACACGCACTACACCTATTGTATATGTATATGACATACTTTACACACAGTACTCACATTGCACGCATCACCATTCATTTATTGATTGATTGATTGATTGATTGATTGTTTGATTGATTGATTGATTGATTGATTGATTGATTGATTGATTGATCGGTTGGTTGGTTGGTTGGTTGGTTGGTTGGTTGGTTGATTATTTTCTTCCTTCCTTCCTTCCTTCCTTCCTTCCTTCCTTCCTTCCTTCCTTCCTTCCTTCCTTCCTTCCTTCCTTCCTTCCTTCCTTCCTTCCTTCCTTCCTTCCTTCCTGCCAGTCCGTGAATTCATTCATCCATCCATCCATCCATCCATCCATCCATCCATCCATCCATCCTTTCATTCAGTCATTCAGTCATTCATTCATTTATTCATTTACAATGTCAACTGCCAACATGTTATAGTTCTGTTTTGTTCATGCCAGTGTTACCTTGATCAAGATATCAAGGTCAGCAATGCTAGGCCATTGGTTCGTTGAATTGACGGACTTGACAGAATGACAGGGAATTCTGCTCAACATGGTCCGCTGCAGGTCAACATAATTAGAACTCGATCGAAAGCATTACTCTTTAGAGGAGACTTTGTAGGACGCCCTTGTTGACAGCCTCCGGATGTCAACATTCGAAAGTGCAGAGTGGCTGCGCCGCTCGAGGTGGACAAAGTCTTCGGCGCAGCAGGCGACGAAACCGTCATCGAGCAACTGCTGATCGGCGAAGAGCGCCTGAGCTCCAGACAAGACTAGGCCCAAGTGGGTGCGACGGGTTCATTAATTGTGAGCAGTGAAAGTTTGCTGTACCTCCAGTCCCCAGTGCCTAGCTTTTGCGGGAGAATGCCTGAGAGAGTTCCCCGTGCCGCTTGATGAAGGATCATCGAGTTCTGCTCGTATTTTGAATGAACCTCGTGTAGGTGCTATGTAGGTTATGTGGTAGTTTGCGTGGCGCGTTGTGGTTTACTTTGACCCAGAACTGCATTTGTTGTGTGGCTTGTCTGCACTCTATGGTTGGGTGTACAGTCCTTTGGCAGACGTTATTGATGCTGTTCATTGGCTCATTTGTTCTGCCAATCTTGGACACAGTTGATTGACTGCTTGGAACATGTCTGATGGACCCTGCTCCATCAGCCAAACACCAATCCAGAAGACAGTCAGGTTTCGGCAATCCTCAGGCATTTCAGGTGGAAGCCTGCGAATTTCACATCCATGCGTTGTTTCATTGTTGATGCCAGCATTTCCTATAAGGGTTGTTTGCTCTGAGGGCCGGGGAAAGAACGACCTCAGCAAATACCGCCTGTTCTGAACATGTGATGAATTGCTGCAAATGTGGCTTGAATATCATCAAAGCAGTATTGATTATGATATCCGCGTTCACATGGATTCGTTTGCTTGAACAGAACCCAAGCTTTACCTGTATTTCAGGGGGAACCGCCAGGTTTCACCCAGCTCCTATTTGTTTCATCAGCTGAGGGTCAGCTGCATGGCGTTCTCGGACGGCCAGCGGGCCGCCATGATGGTGCCGGCCCAGGAGGGACAGGAAGTTGCCATGGTGGTTGTTGGGAAACATTTTACATTTTGGCTTATTGCGGTTTAGTGGTTGATCCAAATCCACTTAACTGCTAAAACATATTTGATTGCTCCCCTTCCAACGTCAACCAAGTTACGCTTCCACGAACAGAAGGCACCTGAGGCTACCTTTGAGAGGCGACCTGGAAGATCAATCTGCGGGTCAAATCCGTTTTGGGATCCCATTTTGGGGTAGGTGCACCACCCATTTTTAGCTGGGTTTTAGTGGGGATTGGGATGTTCACGGGGGTACGATTTGGATTTTGACCCATGGCCATCTGATTTTGAAGGTACCCCTTGGTTGCGGTACCTTTTGACCCTCGTAATCGAAATAACCCTTGATCAAGCCTCCTTCTCAGGCCTTTTAGAGGCCTGTGGAAGTGCACGGAGAGAATCTGAACACAAGCGAAGTTTGTCCCATTGGGGGGTCAACAGATAAGCCCTGAAGGGGCGGGCCTGTTTGGACCATGAAGGGAAAGTTCCTTCCCCCTCCCCATTGAGTACCGGCTGAGTTGATTTTGAAGAATCTATAAGCTAATGGTCCAACCAAGGTCAGAGGCAGACAGTCATGTTTTTAAGGATTAGTCTCCTGATGGGTTGATGTGTAAATGTGAGCTCGACCCCGGTTTGTTTCATCCGTTTCGTTTCAGGATCACAAACGTGTAGACGACAACGACCAGGGCCCCAACACCGGGGGCATGGGCGCCTATGCTCCTGCTCCGTGCCTCACTCCGGAGCTCAAGCCTCAAGTAGAAGAGGCAGGGTATCCACCAACCGCGGGAGAACAGGCAGGTGGAGCTGCTTCAGAGGATATTTTTTGGGGGGTTGCACGGGCTTCTTCAAAGTGGTTTCATCTTGAGGGGTGATGATTTTTGGGTTGACAAGCTTTTTGAACCACCATTTAGAGGGAGGAGGTTCTTTCACGGGCCCAAGAGGAGGCACGACCATGTTGGAACTTTGTGTGGGTCCGATATGAAGCGGGGCATTGGTTGTAAGAAACGCCCCCGTGGCCCCCCGCCTTCTCAAACCCCCTTTGCTACTTTGCCCACTGCATGCATCACTCGGCCCAACGCCACAGGAGCTGCCGCGCCATGTCATCCAGTTTTCTTTGGCACTTGTTCCCAAGATTGGTCGGATTGAATCCGTTTGACGTCCCCAAAGAAGTACTGACCTTGGTGGCTCCCAGCCATCCCCTTAGCTTTTTAGCCTTTTAGTGTTTAGTGGGGATTTTTATTTAACCCACTAAAAGTTAAACTTTCAGTGGGCATCTGAGAGCAGCCCAGTGACAACAGAGCTCCACAGATCCAAAGTGGCGTCCGGAATGGGGGAGGAGTCGCGAGTCGCGCGTAACTGTTTCCGCGAGGTTCTGCAGAGGACGGTGGAGGCCTTGGCCACGGAAGGCCGCAGATACGTCGGGGTGCTCTACGGCGGCTTTATGCTCACCAAGGAGGGTTTGGGTCGTGGCATGCGAGTTCCATGCGTCGCCCAGTCGATCGGTGCCTCTGTTTGGATCACGGGGCTCGGGGGCTTCAGACATTGTTGGAATGACGAGGCTTGGACCCTTAAACGTATGGAAGATGCAGTTCTGCTCAGTTGAAGGCCTGGGCTGGGGCAGCTCCGATTCGCTGCTTCTTCAATTGCTGTTCTCTTTTAGCACCATTTTGCTCAGCACTTTCTGCTGGCCTCCATGCTCCGTGGCTTCCGCCTCTTGAGTCTCTGTGCCGATTTTGTCGGCGCCTTCCGCAGGATGGCCCGATGCTGTTGGAGTACAACTGCCGCTTCGGGGATCCGGAGACGCGACGCTGGCTGAAGAGGGGAAGGTCGAGACGCGTAAGTCTGAGCAGCCTCCCAAACCAGCTTCTACTCATGGATCTCATGTCTTTAGAGAGTGATACGAGCACAAAGGCATCACCAAGCAAGCCTGGATGGCAGCGTATGACAGCTACACTTGGAAACGGCAAGGCTCAGCCGCTTCTTTTTGCACATCCTCGCGGAACAGAGTATTTGCTTGCTCCCAGCCCTCAAGCACTCCAAGGCTACGCCACCAGCGCCAGCAGAGTCAGCCCAAATGCAAACACAAAGACGCGAGTCATTCTTTTTGCCTGGCGCTATCCGCTTTCGTGCCTGCTTGCAACCACCACTGCCACCACTGCATGCCAGTACTAGCATCAACGGCAGCCGCAGCATGATCAGCAACAGAAGCGGCAGCTGTGCCAGCATAATGATCGACACAGTCAAAACTCCTGGGTAGCTGACAGACATGATTCCCTCAAAAACAATTCATGGATGTTGAGGTGACCATCCCTAACTCCAAAACAACGCCACTCATAGATGTCTAAACTCCCACTGGACCCTTATAATTAGTCGATGTCCCTCCTTCTCACCCACCTCAAGTATAGCCATGTTCGTTTTATCAGGGTTGGACAGATACTGTGCATTTGAACGAACAGTTTGAGCCCAAGGCAAGTCCTCCTCCCGTTGCTGGACTCCGACCTCTTCGAGGTGGCCCTTGGCTGCGCTGAGGGCAACCTTGCAGCTCGAGTGCCCGAGGCGCGGCGGGGAGAGAAGGAGCAAGTGCCGGTTGGGTGCTGCATGGTGCTGCCACGTTTGATTTACAGGGCCAGACCCACCAAGGGAGGTTCCTCCTCAAAGTGCAGTTGTTGGTTCCATGTTGATTTCTAGGAGTGCAAGTCATATTTCGACATTTGCATGCTCAGGAGTTGCAAGATATGCGTTGACCGTGCTTGACCTGACGCAAATGCGTCGACTTCTCACTGGAACCATGCGCCAATTGTGCTGTTTTGGCGTGAGATGCATTTGATGAACCCACAGCCTGGTACCCTGACACCACTCCCAACAGCGCAGCCACACAAACTAAATCCGGGCCAGGCACAGCAAGCCGCTGTGGCTCGGTAGCTTGTTGCACCTTGGGTCACAGGAAAGCTAGCACAAGAACAGCCCATTTTTTGCGGTCCCAAGCAAATTCAATGCACACCTGACATGGTTTCCGGCGGGTGTCAGTGGATCCACCGCGGGCGCCAAGCGCTCGCTCCCGCCAGCTCGCTAGGTGACGTGGAAGCCTGGAGCGGCCGCAACGGTGGTGTGCGCCGCGCGGGGCTATCCCGGGTCCTACCCAAAGGGCCTGCCGCTGAGCGACTCGACGTTGCGGGGGCTCACCTGAAATCTCCACCCTCTCAATCCTGGGGCCATGACCAGACTATGAAAGTGACATGAGTTTTTCCAAGCTGAGCCTCGAAGTGTTTGGACCTATCTTTCAACCATGCTGGTTGGACGTCAAGCATGTTTGAATTTCCAGTGATTGTCCAATCATCGTCCATCCCATCCTGTGTGCAAGCAAACTGATGCAACACTGGAGCGTTGTTGCTTGCAGCAGGGATTTTCAGAGCACTTGGGCAATACCCGTTTTGTGGCAAGGATACTGCTTCCCACCCTTACGTTCGAAAGTAATCCAACGGTCAATAGTTCGCCTGGTTTCTATTGTTACGTCATGATGCAAAATGACAAGCTTGCCTATCTGTGGAAACAACTTGGTTTGACCGGCTTGTGAAGTAGCCTCTTTGGACCCCTTTGCAGCAATGTGACCCGAATCATCTTTCCCGGTCACAAGCGGCCGGAGAGTCGAGGCGGCATTGAAGAGGCGAATAGTGTGGAGGGCGTCAAGGTCTACCATGCTGGCACCAAGCAGGGGGATGGCCTGGTATCCACCGGTGGTGACTCGGAATGCTCCAGGGGGTGCAGATGAACATGCCAGCCCGAAACAAATTATGAAGCCGGGATTAGGACGTGATCTGAAACTGGAAGTGCGGCACCACTGACCAATGGTGCTGACAATGGTGCCCAGTTTTCTTTGAGTGTTGGCGTGTGCAACTTGCGCACTTTAAAAGAACTCAGCTCATCTATTGAATGTATTCGGCTAGCGCCGGCCTGTACTCTTTTAGTGGTCTCTGCAGCTGAACCCGCAAACAGGAGTCTACGTAATCGACCTTTGGTTGACACACACACACACACACAACACACACATGTGTGTGTGTGTGTGTTTTCATGCAAGTGTAGCTTCAACTTTTAGGGGAATGTAGCTATCCACACCAGCCTTAACCCTTGACTCGTGCATCACTGATGGGCGGGTCAGCCTGGCCACTTAGGGGCGTCATGTGTTCTGTTTCAGAGTGGTCAAATGTGAAGTGACACAGCATTGAGTCTGAGGTATGACATGAACTGCTTGGCTTGTTGCTTTGCAGGGGAGCTGGGTTCACAACATGCCTCACATGAGTTCCAACATTAAGTTCCGGCAGACGTCCCTACATTATGGACAGGGTGTCTTCGGGCCGCAAAGATACAGATAGAGGTGGAACAAAGGATCATCTTGTGTTGTTGTGTATATCAGGGGCTTATGGGGCTGGTTACCAGGAAACCCGCGTGAAACCGGAGCGTTTTCTGACCAGCCACAGCCACACAGTTTCTTCGTCTTTTGACACTGATGCCAAAGATACACCGTGAAGCGAAAGCATGAGCAAGTGAGAGAAGATAGTTGGTTCGTTTCGGAATGTTCACGGTGATGTAATAGGGGATGGTCATCCAATTGGTTTGCAACAACCAGAGACAATCGAAGCAATGCCGATTCCACCGCTGGATGTGCAAAGAGATTTCTCCCATGCAACTGCGAGAAGAGCTGCAGTTGAATCTTCAGCGGCTGGAAACTCGTCTTCAAAGACTCGAGTCTCGCAACGGGCTGGAGGCACATGATGTGGCCGCGCTGCATTCACCAGGCCAGGACGCAAATGAGATGGTGGAGATGTCGCTGGAGGATGACAAGGTTACGCAACCAGACCTCCGAGCTGTAGAGCTGAAAACCGGAGATGCCATTCCGACACAGACAATGCAATCCGTTGATGCAGAGCAGCAGGAAGGCCAAGTTCATTTTGGAGAGAGCGCATGGACTTTTCCTTTTGTCATTGGTTTGATCCCTGCTGGTCGATGGGACGTGACCTTCTCCATTCTGCTGTTGCTGCTGAATTTGGGTATGCAGGCAGCATTCACAATCATCATTTCAACGGATGATTTCATGGGCATCCCCTTTGGGCATCAAACCAACTTTGCAAAGCGCTGGCGCATCAGTATAGCCCATGACTATCAATTTTTGGACCTGGCTGGGAGGAGCTTGGTGTCACGCGTTTGCGCAGGAGACGGGGCTTTGATTCTATCCAACACCCAAGCCAACCTGGTCGAGCAAATTAATAGCTTCCTGGGATTGCAGAAGGATCAGTTCGAGGTCCCCTTTTTTCAGCCCGGGTCATTGCTCTGCATGCTGTGTATCTCGATGATTTTATTCACATTTATTCAACCCCACTTGAATGAGTTTGGAATGATGTTCATGTGGCTTATGTTTTTTAGAGGTATGGGTGGAACCAGCCAGGTATCCTCTTTTGGAGCCTTTGCGTCTACAAGGAGTGCCGCAGTATTTGGCTCGGATTGGAGGCTGTGTGGTGGATCCCCCGCTCCAACCAGTCAATATTCCGCGACAATGCCTTGTGCAGTATAGGCAAAGCTCGCTTCAGGATCCTTGTATTCACATACTTGGCCCGCGCTGCCATAGCCACGCTACTTCTTGGGGCAGGCATTCGGTGGCTTGCTGGTACCACATCCATCACTGATTTGATGCTCAATTGCGTGGCACTGAGTGCAATCCTTGATGTAGATGAGTTTCATGGATTTGCGACAAGTCGGACCTGTCTTTATTTTCCTACTAGTATGGAGAATCCCAACTATTTGGTGATCATTTCATTTTTGAGTTAATGAATCTAAGGTTTTTGTTTGCAAGCTTCACTCCAATCTCGGTTCAAGTGGCGGTCCAGAACTTGAAACCTGTCAAGATGAAGTACCGCCAACAGCGAAGCCAGCTTGAGAGCTTTGGCTTGCTCATTCTGCTGATTGGCACATTGCTTATACCCTACTTTCTTTTATTGCAACCGCTTGCTGAATCGATGATTACTGCGAAAACCGAACTCTGTGGCGGCAATCAAAGCTTCGTGGTAGGACACAACTCAGAAACCCAGCAAACTCTTGGACTTGTGACCAAGAGCGACTTCGACAGTTCAAATCTTACAATCTCCGAGCTGGCGGTTGACATGCACAGATTCGCAGGATCTGAAGAGCCATACATCCTCTTCTTCGCTTCCAATGCTCGTGCCTTTGACCAGTACCTCAATTGGGACATGACTGCAGAAGTGACGCAAAAATGGGGTGTGTGCATTGAAACAGAGATTTTGCAGCCGGGTGGCCTATTCTACGGAGATCCTTTGGTTAAGCCTTTGGTGGCAACGACGTTTCGGATGGCAGCTGTTAGTGTGGGCCAACTGGATGTTGATGACCTTACTTGCGCTGACTTAAAGTCTTTTTGTTCTGTTCCCGACGCACGGCTGCTGCGAATGGTTTGCGGTGCTACCTGTGGATGCAATGATCCTTATGCCTCGGCTTGGCATAAGGTGCCATCGCAGGGGTGCATCCCAGCCTGCTTGCAGTCTGCCACTGATCAGTTGGCGGCATCAACTTGCGAAGACCACATCGTGGCAGAGGAGTGGGAAGTCTTTTGGAACATCTACCCAGACGCCGTCACCGCCTATTACAACAACGATGTGAGCAAGTCGTCGATATATCCCGCTGTTCTAAACCTCTCCAGCTTCATGAAGTCCACGGGCTGCGCTGGACTGACGAACCCCAGCTTTGACAGTGACCTCTTGTCGCGCGCACGCTGGTGTGAAGGCCACCCGCCCTTGTTTCGGCCCCTCGCTGGCCAGTGTCCTGTATCTTGTGGCTGTGCTGGGGCGAGTCCCTTGCCAACGTATTGTCCCAGCAGCTGCGCATTTGCATGAATGGCTTCGGGTGGCAAGCAGCGCATGCCAGACTGGCTTCCTATGCAGGTAAAGTGCATGCATTTCGGACGAAACACGTGCTTCCAGGACTTGTCATTGCCTGGTGATGTCAGTGGGACAAATCTTCTTGTGCTAAGCTTCAAAGAAGCAAACATTTGTTTGATGCAACACGCCCCGCAGAATGGCACTATGGAGAAGTCGAACAACCCAAGGACCTTTTAGACTGCAACCAGGATCGTCGATACTTCACGGGAATACCCTTTGCGGCGGAGCCTTTCTTTTGCGGCTTCATGTTAATTAGCAGGGGAGCAATGTCAGGCTTGGTAATTGCAATTCGATATCACGCTCAACAGTCTGTAGCAGCCTTTCTGCCCGCGAATACTCTCAGATGTGTTTCTCTTAACTTGGTGGGTTTAAGCTTGGTCCCAAGATATGCGTCGATCAACACTGTCGAACACCTTTCCATGTTACATTGAGAGGTGGGCATGTTCACTCTGCATCGCAAATCTACGCAAGGCAGTGTCAGCCGTTTACGACGCATCGAACAACTTCTCAATGCTGGTCCTCAGCAGCGACTTCGCATGGCTGTTTCGTTATGGAATTTTGACAGGTTTGCTCTGCCTTTGAAAAGCTCTGGGGTATGCTTGCACATGCTACAGCCTCGCATCAGAAGGGCATTCTGCTTCGGAGCATGCTACAGTTTGGTGGAAGCAAATCCGGTGCCCGGGATGATTTTGGACCCGACTTGTGAGGTGTTTGTCGCATGCGATCTATGAATGCCAACTCCTTTGTCAAGCTCGGACACGTCGCCCTGAGACATGATCCAATGTTTGGTTGGGGTGATCCTGGACCGAAAAGCACCTAGCTTTGGACCAACCGCAGCATCGACTGTTAGAACCAACTCCAAGATCCAGATGCGTCCACTAAGATACCTCCCAAGCCCATGCGCAAGCATCTTCCGGTTCCACCATGTTCCCGATGTCCCCATCCAATCCGAAACACTCATTCGGCTCCAACTCCTTTTGAGCCGCGCGGATTCAGCGCCTCAGGCCGAGTGCTAGCGGTCACCGGGCAAGCGCCCTCCTTTAAGGAGGCCTTGACCCGCGCCTATGCGGGCGTGGCCAAGATCAGCTTCGACCCCCCAGGTGTGGCGGTAGGTGCCTGGGCCAAAAGACGACCCGAGGAAAATCCGGGGATCCGAGTGCCGAAAAGGAGGATCCATGCACAGTATGAAAATTGGCTTGGGTTCCCTGCAGAGCCAAAATCTCATGCCAGGGTTGTTGCAGCAACCATCTTTGCCCTAAAGAAAAAGAAAGCTGCGGGGCTTGGAGTCTTTGGGTCGCTGGAGTGTCAGTTTTTCCGCCATGACATGTTTGGTTTCCCCAAAAGGACAGACACCCAGGGCAAGAGTCTGCTGTTTGAATTTGAGGGATGCCAACTTTGTGCGAGCTGCGGATGGTCAAACGCCCAGCCTTGTGACGCAGACGGTTAATGCTTGGAATGGCTGGGTCCAGATTCTTTCGCTAGGTCTCCAGCTTTAGCCTATGAATTGCTCACAAGGAACCAATCGACCAGGCGAGACGACATTCTGTTCCAGTGTTCCATAACTCTAGGGGTACCTTCCCCATTCTTTCCAGGGATCCTGCTTTTCAGGAAGCCATCAAAAACCACGGCGAAACAGCCGGTTTTTGAACAGAACGATGGTTGAAAACCCCTAGAGCACCGTTGGTGTCAAGTCCTCGAATTCTCGTCTTTGCCTTGCATGAGGTACGAGCCTGCACTTCCGGAAGGACATCGGCCATAAGGCCGGTCATGCGATCGCCTCGTTGCCTTGTCGCCATGTCGCAAGCACGGGTATGACAAAATGTTTCGAGGGTATGACTTTTCGTTGCGTTTGCCTCAGCGCCTCTCATGTTGCATTGTGCAGGCCTTTTTTGTGATACATCAATGGTTACCTGCCCAAAAGGCCCCGGGCACAACTGCTGAGTCAGTTCAGTTCATTCCCGGCACGCTGTGTTATGGATGGGAGGCGTTATACTCATTGAGAAGAGCTTGGTTTAGAAGGCATGCTTCAAGCTGTTGATGAAGCCATTGCTTGTGCAACATGCTTGTGCAACATGCTTGGGAACCTTGCCTTTGAGTGGTAGCTGTCCAGCTGAAGCGCTCAATTGGAAAATCGTTGGTGTAACCAGTCACTTATTGTCGTAGTTTTCATGTTCCATGAGTTTGTTCCCTCGTCATCATGGACCTTTGGGTAGTTGTGGCTCTAGAAAGAATGGAACCAACCAGAATATCTCGAACAAGTTGTCACTTGAGGCTTCTATTAGCAACCGGATGTAGGTGACACGGCCTTGTTGGACGCGTGCTACTGTAGCTTGGGAAAGGTAGGTATAAACAACGATGCCTTGGCAGGCTCGTGTAGACTTCGCAGGCATGCTTAGACATCAGCTTGGTGTTCATTTGTTTCAGTTTGCGGCTTCAATTCACAGGAGAACGTGCAACAAACAAGCTGTTTCAGCCTGTGATCCTGGCACGTGTATTCTTTGCGCGGTGGAGGGGTAGGCCACAGTCCAAAGCTTGTTGAGTCCAGAAATCTTGAGAACCTTCAAAATCTGACGGACACATTCAATATATGTATTGGCCTTGGGATCTTTTGATTGATACTGGTGCCAACATACAACTACGACTGATAAGCAAAGGGTCATGCACTCATGTGAGGCTCTGAGGCTTGAGACAGCCTGAAGCCCGACGAGCGGGGCAGCCCAGCCCCTTCCGTGGCTTAGTAGGTCCCTTAATTCTCCTTTGTTCCTCCCTGTCTGAATAGGACTGGTCTAAATAGGAAACGGCCGTCAGGGACAAGGATAAATCGTCGTGGGTTTTGCGCCACAAAGACAGCTATGGGGGTCCTAGCTATGGGTCTCAACCAATTTCCGCCAAAAGCACATTAAATGGGTCACTTTTTCAAACATGATCGCCTCAGTACAACTCCTGCACACTTTGAAGCATATACTATACCACCTATTATTATCTATCCAATTTTGATATTTCCCGTTTGTGCGTGTCTTGTTGTTTCTCCTTGCTCTTGGCAGGCCGTTTTTGTGCCATCGTTCCGCAAATGCACTTTGCTTGCTCATTGAGGTGGCTCCGCCAGTCCACCTCGCGGCCAAGCAGCCGAGTGGATTTCGGCAGAGCTGCGTTGGTACATCTTTTGTTTCATTTTGTGTCGGCGGACTCCGTGTCTTACGCCTCTCTTTTGCCAATGTCTTCCCAATGCAACTCCAGTAAACCATGGATGTGTGAGATCTTTCTGGCGTCCAGCGCCAATCTTGAAAAATGGTTGCCTTGTTATCCTGTACCAACATCTTGGTAGGTGCATTGTCGAATGATGATATGGCCTACTGTGCAAGAGGCACAGATTGCATAGGGAAGAAGCTGGCGACGGAGCAAGATAACGACTCGTGGAAGCAGAGCTCCACACTCCGTTTCAGTGACATAGATTACTCTTGACCGCTTTTCGCAAGTTGCAGACGCAAAAAACACGGTCGCATGGCCGATCTCAGTGCGGGGTTGCCTGCGGTGCATGCGGCTTTTTATTTGTTCCGTGCAGCAGGCTGGAGCAGGCAGCTAGTGTTGCCCCTGTTTACGGGCCAAGGGTTCCAGAGTCAGTTTCGGGAGCCCTTGCCCACTTGCAGCCAGGGACTCGCTATGGGCTATGATGAACGGTAAGAAATGGCACCTGTAGATTTTGCTTGGCCCTGTATTGCCACAGTAGCTGTTTGTGCAACATCTGGAGCTTGGATACTCATCAAGCGCAGGAGGCCAGCATTGCCCTGACTGGAACATGCGTGCCGCTCAACACGCGTCCTACGTCAATGAGCTTCATGCACACATGTCTATACTGTAAGCTGATGCTGAGGATTCCAAGCTACTAAGAACTGACTTTTGGCGACATTCTCGTTGCTGCGCAAACATGACGCAACTCAGGGAAAGTCAAGCCAGTTCCTCTCTAAGACTCCAGGAGTTGGTATTTGTGTGCGGTTGGGGGTTCCTCTTTAACTCCCCATTGTTTGCTGCTTTTGTCTTGGGACCTTGGCTGTGGATTTTATCTCAAAGCTGGTAGACAGAAATCTTTATGTTTTCTGATGTTCATGTGCAGGTCTGCAAGGGCGAGCCGTACCGAGACAAGAGCGACATGTGGTCCCTGGGCTGCGTGCTTTACGAGATGCTGGGACCCCAGCGGTGCGACGGGAAGCCAAACCGTGAGGGGCTTTCAAAAGGCCTTTTGGCTTTTGGCCATCTTTTGTTTGTCAGGATCCTGCAGCTCGACATCTAAACTGAAGCACCGAGTGCATCCCCTGCAACGGCCTCCTCTTTTTGGCTGGTGCCGGCCGCAGCTAACAATGATCCGCCTGCTCTTTGTGAGGCTTGTCAAGTGTGAACTCCTGGTGCCGCATGCCTCCGCGGTTGCGCGTGTCGATTTTCGCCAGTGGTTTGCCTTGCGACGGGACCCGAGGTGCCGATTCCGGCACGCCTTCGAGCCGCGGCCACGGGAAGTTCGAGAGCGATGCGCCGCCGAAAGACGCGAAGGGTCGACATGTGGAGTCTGATGCCCTTTTCCTTACCCGAATGAAGCCCGTGACTTACCATTCTTCAATCAAAAGGGACCCTCTTTTGGGAAGGAATAGATTGGGCCCACTCAGCGCAACGTTCCGTCCTTGGTCCTTTGGCGCAGGTGTTTCCAGAGTCCATTCCCGGATTCCCCGTCGATGGATATCTCATGTAGTTGATCACAGTCGCAGGGAAACCAATTGCTGGTGGAAGTGTTTCCCAAAACACACCTCGCCAGAAGCAACGTGAACCCAACAAAAAACCGTTTCAGAACATTCTCAAGGCTCGGTGGGAAAGCAGGCCGCTGGGTTCATCAACCCCAGTGAATTCGGCAAATGAGCCACAATCAAAACCCGGGTGAGTGAAGGTTAGTAAGGGACGATCCCAGCCATTAATAGCTGCGACCGCCTTCTTAGTTTTTTACATGGTTCTGGGTCGACCATCTTTGTACCGGGTTTTGATTGTGACTCAAATGGCCCCAAGGCCCTCGCCAAGGGTTGAGTGCAGTGCTTCTGAGACCGGAGGTGGGAAAAGTGGACGGCCCGTGTTCTGCAACGCAAATGTTTGAATTATCGTAGTTGCCTGGTGATCAATCAGTCTGAAGGAGCGAATTCATTTTTTGAGTCATAGCTCCACAGAATCTTTTGCAAGAGGAAGGGCCAGGTTCTACCTTGAGAGGCATGAGGGATTGAGCAAGGCAGAAGGTGCATGCTGAAGGTTATTTTTTGGCGGGATGCAAGAACAAGCAAGTCATAGGTCGTGCAGGATTGTCAGCATGAACCGCCCCTGCAGCAAGCACGTTGTCCTACCTTTACACGGAGAGTAGTCATATTCAAGCTGGAAACTGGGACATTCTATTCTGAGTAAGTTCGCCACCTCTCATGTAGCACTTATGGAAATCAAGATCCAACCCACCACAGCCTTAGGCCGTGTTTCTCGTCCCGAAAAGGCTTTGGGGTCAGGCGGTCAGAACCCTCCGTAAGCCGAAGCCTTGCAAAGGTCGCAGTCTCTGCTGGGCTTGGTGTACTGCATCGCGAGGTCCCAAGGTGTGAAGTTGCCTCCGCCATTCAATCCACAGAACACCGCGTGGGTCGGGCAGCTTACCTATTGCCCTAGTGAAGAACTTGTTTTGCCTCCAGTCTGCTGGGGATCAATCCGCGTTTTGTAATCGGAAATCGGGGAATTGTGGGAATTGTGGAAGTGGTGTAGAAATGTGTGTGTGTGTGGGTGCGTTGCCACCAAGGCAGTGAGAATGTCAAAATACCTTTTGAAGGATTCATCGCGTTGGTTTTGTGCGTGATAAATGTCTTGCTTGATGGCTAGCACATAGCGAGCGCCTTGCTGACGCTCCTGAAGTTTATTTCACGTAGCAGTGTACGAGCCTAGATTTGTATTCCTGGAATGAGCCTCTGGCGACTGCATGATTTCACAATGCGGGACCAATGTGGCGCTGACAAATTTGCACCTTAGCTCCTTGAGTATAGGCAAATGGGCGTGTGGTGAGGTTCAATATGCGGGGGGGGGTTCTGGCCCGACAGAGTCTTGACGCTCCGAAGTGTCAAGCCTGACCTGTCTTGGATTTTTACAACATTGAATACGTACCTGCCGATAGATGCCTCACCAGTGGATTACGCCTCGAAAGAGCCAAACCAGTAGGATCAATGCAGCATTGTCCAGTTGGCAAAACTCGACGGGGCATTTGTGTGGTCGTTTTCATGTGGCAACCCCAGCATCGCTGCTCTTTTCGAACACAAGTCACAAGGCTCCCTAAATGCTCCTCTTGGAGATCACCTTTACGCCCAAGAGTTTCCTTGGAGCCTTAAATCACCTGTCAAAGGACCATTTCCTCAACTCCTTTTTCTGAGAAAAGATCGGCATACTCAG